CAAGAGACGGCAAGGTGACGTCCCGTGGGACGCTGTCCACCGAACCTTCCAGCTGTAAATACCAACCACGTAGAAAGGTGTGTGCGGTCAAACCGTTATAGCCGAACTCGTGTAACTGTTGTAAGGGAGAAGGAATAATAGTTACAACAGTGGTCCTGACAAATGCAGCGCAAGCGAAGTTTCCGCTCTCAATTGCCGATCACGTATGAACGCAGCTTCACATAAGACCTTGAACCTCACTTGTGACTTGAGCCAAATGGCAATCAATGGAACCTTGTAAGCAACACAAACACGGACCTCAGAACTGCTTCCCAATTTAGGCACGGGGCCAAGAGTTAGACAGAGCCTTTCCCGTCCGCATTTTGCCATCCAGTCATAGGGTCCCCCCTACACTTTTGGGCGCAATTCAAATACACCCATTTTCAACATTCAAATCCAATCACCCAACCAATCCAACACCACCAAAAAACACATATTCACATACCCATCTTCATTTCTTACCCCATCTCAACATCACCCCTATGCTCATTCAATAACAACAATCAGAACTACATACCACCTCAACAAATCCCACCAAAAAATCCAAGCTACATACCAACATTGTTTCATTCCCAAGATCCCAACCCCAAGATCTCAATAATTTCTCCCTTGATCCAACTTGACACCCTTTCCCATTTCCAACAAATACGAACAGTCTAAAAAACAACCCTATGTTCGCCCCGAAAAGCGGTTAACCAATGGAAAAAGGAATATTCTAAGGGCTAACTCAAATCTTGAAAATAATCTGTGTAACATGGGATGGCAAAATGCGGATTGAACAAGGCTTCAGTAGACACACCGCCCTAGAAACTGCCGAAACTACCATGAAACAGCAAAAAATGCCGTTGGAACTGCAACAGACGCTGTTGGAACTGCAAAATCTGCAAAATCCGCCGTTGGAATTGCAAACATATTGCAAATCCGGTTTTTCCAACACCGCCTCTCCCCACCCCACCATTTTTCACCGCATTTCAGTCGCTTGAACGAGTCAAGATCATACCTTCCATGAACTCACATACTGCTCAACGTTGACCTTGCATTTCTCCGAAACACCCCATGCGCCGACAACCTTCTGCCTCGACGCATATCCTTCTGCAATGTCACCTTCAGGAGCGACTACAACCCACTTGATGCTCTTGACTCCATTCAGTTGGAAAAAGTTGTTGAACTGCTTGTAAGAAGCATCAGTGACTTTTTGCCTTCGTGACCTGCAGTAGCCAAAGCGTGATGTTCTTGCCCTCATTGGTAACAAAGAAAAAAATCAGCGGCTGGAAATGTCTCAGATTCAGGACAATACAAGCAATTCTCATCAAATTCTGGCAAAGGCTTTGGTGGTGGCTGGTCACCCAACTTTTTGAGAATCTTCTGATGCGTCGGGATGCAAATTTTGACTGCAGCTGACTCTTTCTTGTCCTTCGTCTTCAATGCAGTGCAAACAAGCTCCACCTCCTTGGATTTGCAAACCTCGGCGACATGCATCTGAAATAGCCGACCGCACAGTGTGGTGAAAGGGCTGATATTCAAACTTGCCCTGATAAGGTCAGGAAGAGCTTTCCGTTGCTTCTCTGCCAGTTGGTCACACATAATGTTGAGAACAACCTCGGACTCAATCAACTTCACATTGGGCGTCTGAAACTTGGCATCCGAATGGATGTGAAGCACCCGACTCATCTTGCTCCTGTTGTTCTGCGCATCTATGTCTGCACCGCCACTGTCAGCAGCCTGACACAAGTCTTCAAACGTGCACTTCACGACGCAGTCGCGAATCATCTGCTTTGCTTCCTCTTCCAGAGTGGTCTTATTCTTGGCTACTGCCACCAGCAATTTGCCCAAGTATCGCACACTCCCTCCAATCATGGCATATGCCATCTGCTCCTTGCAAGCAGTGGTTCAGCACCTCCTCTTCCGACCACACTGGCATGAAATAGCGCTCTGAACGACCTTCAGCCTGTTTCCAAACGCTGTCGTAGTTCTTCTGCTGCGGCGAGGTGAAAATAATAGTGCAACCACACATGCGAGGGTCAACAGGCTGGGAGTTCTCACCGCCAACTGGGTCCGCCAACAGAACAGTCTTCGGAACTTGAAGTGTAACTGGCTCTGTTTTATTGCGCGTCATGGTTTGACCTGCAACACGCGACCGCCACTCCTTGCCCAGCTGGATGACGATGTTGATGCCCTCTGCCACATAAGCCAGAAAAACGGATTTCCCAATGCCGGGAGTGCCTGTAATGACGAAAACGCCCATGTCCTCTTGGGAGAAATTGTGAAGCAACCATTTGTGGACAAGGCTACACATGTCCATGTAACACTTTCGCAGAACCAGCCTTTTATTCATGTCCCTCTTTCCCAGAATATTGTGCGCAAACTCCTGCACGGTGTCAGCTTCCCAGTTGCTGGGCTTCGGTGTCTTGGACACAGCCTCATCCAGCCAATGGCAAAGTTCATCTTGATATCCAGGGTCCTGAGCAGTGCAGTGAAAGCAAACCAACAAAACAAGTAACTAGCAATCACCCCAAACACAAGCAAATAAACCACTCAAACAAACATACCTAAGAACCAGAGAGGAACGAAACAACCAAACCTAGAAAAGGGAATGGCGCAACATACTGATTATGTTTAAGCCAAGGGGCGGGCGCTGATGGTGGCTGGAGGTCTTGAATCCGATGGTGCAGTCTTACGGCCACGATGCGTCGCACATTCAAATCACCCACTTCGTGTAAATAGAAGGACAATGTCTCTGCTGAAGCTTTGCGCAGGTCATCCTCCGGAAGTTGTTGAATGAGCGAGCCGACACTGCTTTTGGAAGCCTCATCCATGGCGACGTCATTGAGCTGCGCCACAGTCCAGTCATGCTTCTTTGGCGGTGCTGTTTCTACCATTGCGCAAAACTGAGAGCAACGTAAACCTAAACAAACATGACACTTTCAATGACTGATGCTCATCGTGTTTTGGTCGCAAATCGCCCGATCATGCTACCTCAAGCTTGAACCAACCGTTGGCGGAATCAGTTTTGCCACCGCCATTACAACATGTTGTCTCAGCAAATGTTGTTTATGAAATATCGTGACAGAAACCGTGCCATGTCGTCATAGATTCAGTGACGTGCCGTCATAGAAACAATGACACATTGTCATAGAAACAGTGACGTGTCGTCATAGAAACAGTGACGCGTGTGACACGTTGTCATACAAACAGTGACACGTTGTCATAGAAACGGTGTCCCAGAAACAGTGACATATCGTCTCAACCCTTGTCGTTGGTGACTGATCGTCGTAGTCGCTGTTCAAACCCTCAAAATCTCTGACCTCAAATAGGGGCGGTTCATCCCTTCAACAGAATAATAATCTTGACCAAGTTTTTTTTCAACCCTTGAAACCTTGTATTTGACACTGCTCCAGTTGCTCGTTCTGTCTTTCTCGGAAATCCCTTTTTTGCGGTATATTTTGACCGCATCGCCAACCCTAACAGGGGGATATTTACGGGTTTTGATTCTGTTCATCTCAAGCTTCATCTTGACCTCAAGATGGTTTCCCTTTTTGCGGGCATCGTTTGGAGTCAGATCGTGGGCAGAATGAACCATTTTACTGTTGTATGTCAGCATGATCTCGGGGATATAATCAACCCATTGTGTATTAACCTTTCCCTTTTTCTCGTCTGCATCAACCCTCTTGAAAAGCATGTCCTTGAACGTGCGAATGAAACGTTCGGCGAAATGGGGGCGCCCTCGTGTTTTATAGTTTTGGATCCCTTCGTCCTTGAAAAAATCGACAAGATCTTGGGTATTGAGACTCCCCTCGTCATCCGAATAAATTAATTTGGGTTTCCCTCCCATTTTGTTTAATGCCTCCATGATCCCAGCCGCGATGTCGGCAGGTTGCTTGGACGCAATAGGCACCACCACGGCTTTGCGGGAAAATACATCAATAAGCAATAAGCCTATCCTATATTTTTGATTATCTAAATCATTTTTTGATATAAAAAACAGATCCAATTGATATTCAAAGTTGATATCAGGGGCAATAAACGAATTGTATCCAGACAGTTGTTTTTTCCGTTCCACGTTCTCTTGAAACCACTCCTTGACATCTTGCATTGTTATGGTCTTTGTAAGTGGTGGCGACGCTACCAAACCCAGCCTGATCGTAGTAGACCTCACTGATTATCTTGTCTTTTTCACTCATATATATATTATACTATAGAATCAATATCAGTATGTTATTTTATCACTGAAGCATCTATTACAAGAAGCACAGAAGGCAATGACATTATCCTTTGTGTGGGGAAGATCATTACATAACCTTTGACAAGTCAGATTAGAATTTATATTACCAGAATCCATTGACAACACGAAACCACAGCCACAATTTGCACACTTTCCGTTGACATTGTCCTTCAACCATTCGGCATCCACATAATTGTCTTTTGGGATCTCAAATTTGTTTTTCCTATCCTGTTCCTTGTATGCTAACACCTTTCTATCAAAATAATTCATAATGCATTTTGCGTTAAACTCTTCATTTAAATCACTACTGTATTTGTAAAATTTTACTCTGTTTGGATCCCTTGCCTGAGTGATCCCCGTCCAAAGCCACTCGCGAGTTATCAGATGATGGTTCCAGTCAAATATCACGACATCGTCATCAATGGAACACCCCTGAACAGAATGACAAGTATAACAGAAGGCAAAGATAAAATGACTTCTCAAGATACCAATATTTAGCGTGATCTCTTCTCGTGTTTTGATATTAGCAATGGTAATCCAAGGATCGGAAATATTAATTATCTCATACCTAAAATTCACATTTAACTTATAGGTTTTTGTCTTCCTATACTCTCTGCATATCATGATCTCGCCGACTTCAAACTCATTTTGTTTGCCCTGTCGTTTCCTGATCTGCCTTGAAACCTCTCTACAAGTGTTATTTAAATATGCGACATTGCTTTCTGTTCCTGTGATGTCATCAGTATATTTAAAATACTGAATGATGACATCATGTAGAGACAACTCACGCTCAAAGATGTCGGCATAAATGCTTTTAAGTTTATCCTTGTCCTCCTGAGTCTTCAATCGCTTGCACTCTTCCAAAAATAAATGATGGGGAAAAATGCTGTCAATACATTCATTCATATAAATCTCGTGTTTCTTAGTGTTAGTCAGTGCTTTTGTGGGGCTCAACTGCTTGGCGTCACCGGTTGCCAACATTATTTTACTGTCCTTGAACTGCTCAACACAGCCCTTGATTTTTGCCAATACAAAGGTATTATTAAAACAAATCTCATCAAACACAATGACATCAAACATCGAATGATCGTATTTATCTAGCTTCTCGTCATTGACTGCTACACCGAAGAATTTATTTACAGTGACGCTTTCCACTTCGCACTCTAAACCCAGATTATTGGTAGGAACCACGAACAACACTTTATAACCCTTGAGTCTCTCCATGTTCTTGCAGATGGTGGACTTCCCCGCTCCTGCGAATTTGGCCTTGATCATCAAGCACCTATATTTCTCAACAAGTTCAACCAATTCATTTTCATCATACTCATTAATGATGTTAACTCTCTTACTTTTGACAATCGGGATATCAACATATTCACACTTCTTCTGTTCATACAACTGCTTTCCTGTATGATGGATCTCATCGTGAGTCTTGGCTAATTTCCACCCACCGATCCCATCGTGAAAATCTAGCAACTGCTGAGTCTTTCTCAAACCAAACTTATTGAAACCCGAACAGTCCACGACAAAAGCGTCGCATTTGACACTCAATACCTTAACATTGTTCTCTGTCAATTTTTGATGCGCGCATTGCATTTTGAAATTATGATACTGCAAAAGCATTTCTTTAATAAAACGAAACCCATTGGACAACTCGCACCTATCAACCACATTCAGAATATAATATAAATTGTCGTTTTGTTCAGATACTTCTCTATCACGGCACCACACCCCGTTGTCATCGTATTCCTCAACCGACTTGGCAGTATGCTTACTCATCATGTTTAACTTCCCACCTGCATCTGCCTGAAGGCTGATCGCCTCATTGAGATCATCAAAAACGAATGATCTCTGACTGCTGTTCTTACTTTTTTCCAACAAGCCAAAAAATCGAGTTTCCCCAGAGTTCCTCAACCAACATTTTATTATCTACCTTGTGAATGAAATGTGGCTGTTTGTAGTGAGTAATGGACAACTCGCCAGATGCAACAAGTGGCATAAAATGCTTAAGAAACATACCATAAACTATATTTGTATCATTATTAAAAAACAGATTGTGATGTGTCAGTTCTGCTTTTACCCAATATATATTTACATCCTTGATCTTACATTTACTATTATAAGCTTTCCAATTATCAAACTGATTAAAAACTCCAATTCTGGTAATCGTATTAAATGCATCTGTAAACGCTTTGTTCATGTCGATCTCCTGTTTTGGAACATCCAATTTATCCAAGCCCTTGAATAACTCGCCTTGTGGGACGATGGTTCTATAATTATTTAAAACTTGTATATCGGTAGGACTATAATAAGACTTGTGATTTGGATTGAATAATTTCTTTTTGAATGTAAACATCGCTTCAGTCATATTGTTGTTGTCAAGAGACGGCAAGGTGACGTCCCGTGGGACGCTATGCACCGAACCCTCAAGCTGTAATACCAACCACGTAGAAAGGTGTATACGGACGATGCCGTTATAGCCGAACCCGTGTAAACGTTGTAAGGGAGAAGGAATGATAGTTACAACAGTGGTCCTGACAAATGCAGCGCAAGCAAAGTGTTTTCGCTCTCAATGCCGATCACGTATGTATGCAGTCACACATCAGATCTTGAACCTCAATTGTGTCTTGAGCCAAATGGCGATCAATGGAACTTGGGAAGCAACACCAACAAGGACCTCAGAACAGCTACCCAATTTCGGCACGGGGCCTAGAGGGTTTTAACATCCCCCATTTGGGTCGCATTGTTCATCATGCGGTCCAAACACCACAAAACGTTCCACTGGCCACGGCTTCAACTACGAAATCGTGTCGTGCATTCTTTTACTTGCTATCACTACACCGTTCATTCGCTGTGAAACATGCCGGGTTCGATTGTACGAAAAGTGAAACATTCATCCTCCAATCGAAGCACACATCCATATGCAGGTGTATATAATACACAATCGTCACGTCATTTGACCACCAACGAACAATCCAGCTGCCGCATTTGCGCATCGCGCAGCTGTCATCCATAAATGGGTTGGCCGCAAAAGTCCACCAGAGGCGCCTGCTTGTAATCGGTCTGCATATTTCCGGCAAAGAAACATCGGTGAGTAATCAATGCAAATCATAGCCATTCCAGATACCATGGACAATGCATAAATAATGAAAAGATATCATCTATAAGGTAATAGTTCCATCCATGAATATCCAGAGCGTCATAGTCATCGGAATATGTAACCATGTACACACCCAATC